TCCTAGGAGGCTGTAGGGGGCACAGTGTGGTCAAAAGTACTGACAGATGGGAGTCTGGATTGATATATTTAGCTATCATTTTAAGTATAATGAGTTATTTTCTCAAATTAACAGTTACAATTAATAATTAAGCAACTAAAAAGCAGGGGAAAAAGAGGGAACAACCAAGGTAAACCAGGAGAAAGATGGTAAAGACAAAAAAGCAAAAACAGTTGATCTCTAGACAGGGTTGAGTTGAGGACAAGGAACTTGAAATCAGATATATCATGAAATTCCACTGTCTAAGCCAAAATACTGTGGTATTAAATTTCAGGTTCAAGTGTTGCTACATTTACCTACTTTCATATTTCAGCAAAGGTAAGCAAATCATTTACCTATGTTTTCTTCCTACACCTTTAGCAGAATAAACAAAATGACTGGCATATCTTAAGGGACCAGATGGCTGTTAACACTAAAAAACCATACAAATTCTACAGATCTCTTTTTATTTCACGTAAACCTCAGTGACTATTCTGTCTACTGCTTCATCATCACTGCCTAGAAAAGGTGTTCAATAAATACTGGATGAATGGATAGAAGGATGAAAGAAGCAACCCAGTCCACAGATACAGAGGCCACAAGCAAGCAAGCAAAGCCTCTTCTGGATGATCTCCCCTCCCTGGTGGGGTTCAGAATCTCAGGAGCCAGTGGTAGAAATGGCCAGTACTGACCCACAAATTCAAAGAACAAGGAGAACTGTCATTTATTTTCTACAAGAAAATACGCTAGAAGGTAAAGAAACTACAAAGGATCATGTCTAAGACAAAGGTATAAGAAAACAAGCTGCGTCGGCAACAGAGAGCAAGCCAGACAGGTTACTAAGAACCTAGATATGACAAAAAACTAAACATCTCTGAACAGGGGGAAAGAAGCTTTTACAGCGTCCCTGTGGCCTGTCCAAGTTGACTTGGTAGAACACGTAAGTGTGTCAAGACATAGACCAACACCTTTAATTGTGAAGAGACTTTAAAAAGGTAAAAACCGGCCGGGCGCAGTGGCTCATGCCTGTAATCCCATCACTTTGGGAGGCCAAGGCGGCAGATCACAAGATCAGGAGTTTGAGACCAGCCTGGCCAACATGGTGAAACCCCATCTCTACTAAAAATATAAAAAATAAGCTGGGCATGGTGGCCCGTGCCTGTAAGCCCAGCTACTCAGGAGGCTGAGGCAGGAGAATCGCTTGAATCCGGGAGGTGGAGGTTGCAGTGAGCCGAGATTGTGCCTGGGCGACAGAGCAAGACCTGTTTCAGGAAAAAAAAAAAAAAAAAAAAAAGGTAAAAACCTCTTACTATAGCATCTCAATTTCAACAGCATGCCCCTCAAGGGTAGGAGATAAGGTATGTTTGCCTTTGCACATTCAGAGCCCAAGACACTTTAGAGAGACAAGGAGACAAAGTAGTACCAACAAAGGACACTGGGGAGGCTGGAGGAGCAGGAAATACTATCTCAGAGCTAAGTAAAGTGCTTCAAAAAGGAGGAAGTGATCAACCATGTCAAACGTCACTGACATTTGCCCAATTAGTGATACTGACAGTGGCACTGAATCCCTGATGTCAGTACAATCAAGAACGGCAGGAGAAAAAGTAGAGAAAGTTGAAGTTTTAGGAGTTTTGCTATTAAAGAGGGGCAGAAAAAACATACTCAGAGGGGAATGTGAGATTAAAAGTTTGTGCTGTAGTCTTTTTGTTTTAAAGATAAAAGACATTGTAGCATGTTGTATGCTGATGGGAATGATCTTGTAGGAATGTTCATCTAAAATAGAACAACTGCTGGGGTAAAGTCCATGAGCTGGTGAGAAGGAACAGGATCCAGTGTCTGGTGGAGAAGTGTTCATAGACAGATGAACAGTTTATCCATGTAAGTGGAGGGAAGTGAACCTCATGGGGTACCTGAGCACTCAGGTTAGTAGATATGGAGGTAAGGACATGTACAAATTTCTCACAGAAACAGGAAAACATACGCATTATCAGCCAAGAGTGAGGAAAGAGAAAAAAGTGTTACAGGTTGAAGAAAATGAGAAAGTATGTAAAAATTATCCAAACAAATGGGAAATAAGTGGACTAGGGAAATGTAGGATTTCCAGTCAGCACTAAAGGCCCATAAAGATCAGTGGTCATGACATTAAACTGAGAGTAGTCAACATGCCTGAGTACAGGTGCAAAGGAAAAAAAAAGCATAAGGAAGAATAAAACTTTTCTTTGTGTCTATCCTTCAGAGAGTAGACGCCATATAAATGAGCAGAAAACTAAGCAATTGGATTTTAGGCACTTGCTTTTCTCCCTTGGATATATATACATCTAAGCTTTTCAGGATATACATAATTTATGTCTATTTATATGGTTTAGATGGAAAAATAAATACAAAATACAAAATAACTTACTCCAAAAGCTAACACTACGTATCTTTAGGGTGAGCGAAATAAGGAAATCATTTCCTGTATGTTCTCCCACTTTTTTACTCTGAGAATCTATTACTTTTACAAAAAGTAAAAAAAATTCCATGAAAAAAATTATAATCCAATGACATACAAACAAAGCCAGTGCCACAATATGTTGACTGTCTGCAGACAGATGGGAATTGCATACCACATTCTGGCAATCTCCAATACAGGTTGAATATCCCTTATCTAAAATGCATGGGACCCCAGAAGTGTTTGGGATTTTGGAATATTTTGATTTTAGAATACAGTATTTGCATATACATAATGATGTTTCTTGGGGATGGGACCCAAGTCTAAACACAAAATTCATTTACTTTTCATATATACTTTATACACATAGCCTGAAGATAATTTTATACAATATTTTAAGTAATTTTGTGCATGAAACAAAGTTTTGACTGTGTTTTGACTGTGACATCACATGAGGTCAGGTGTGAAATTTTCCACTTGTGGAATCATGTTGGCTCTCAAAAAGTTTCAGATTTTGGAGCATTTCAGATTTCAGATTTTTGGGCTAGGGATCCTCAATCTGGTATATAGACAACTTAAAAATAACTCATAGAGACCCAGCTGATAATGGCAGAGCTTCTTTGGGTTCTAGTGGGTATACACCCTCCTTCCCTCCCTAATCTACCACTGCCTACCCTACAGGAGATCTCCACCTATCCTAGGTCTCCTACCTATCCCTTTACTGGAGCTACCACCATGAGAAGGTTTGAGAAAGATCCTATTTCTATATTCAGGGCAGGAAGCATATAGGGGTGAGGCAGAAGTCAGCGAGAGATAGGGAAAAGAACTCCTTCAATGCATATCTACTTTGCCATTATTTCCCAGATGCAATGACATATAGAGTTTCTAGTACTAGAAAGAACTGAGAAAAGCCACAGGCAGGGTCCACTGGGCAACATCAATAAATATAATCAGGTTTAGAAACCTCAAGGAAATGGTCTAAAAAAAAAACAAAATTAAATCTAAAAAAAATAGATGAACTGTCTATGCTAGGTTTATAATGCAAGCAATGCCATATTCTTAATTATTTCAAATGGTTTATATTCATTTGAAATGAAGAAGAAATGTTTTCACCCTAACTTTATAACTCAGATTTGCACAAGACCTAGCAGGAAAATTTATTCTATACCAAGTTTCATCAGTGAACATTTCCAAATCTTAGCATTAGGATAATATATCATTTTCCCTTAAGTCAGTGTTTGAAATCTGGTATGCCAATAAAATTTTATGTACACAGCTAAAATCAGACAGTTACAAAATAGAAGGCTGCCCTCAAAGCTGTTTATCAACCAATTTTTCCTGATGTTTGCACTTTTCCAACAAAATCCTAAGAATCGGTAAACACAACATAATATAAAAACAAGAATACTTAAATATCAGCAAAAGAAACAATTTAAAAAATACAGTTCAGATGTGGGATAGAGACGAAAGACCTTTATATAGATATATATATATATATATAAAACATTGATATTGTTTGGCTGTGTCCCCATCCAAATCTCATCTTTAACTGTAGTTCCCATAATCCCCACGTGTCGTGGGAGGGACCAGGTGGAGATAATTGAATCATCGGTAGTTTCGCCCATCCTGTTCTCGTGGTAGTGAATAAGTCTCACAAGATCTGATGGTTTTAAAAAGGGCGGTTTCCCTGCACACACACTCTTGCCTGCCGCCTTGGCTCCTCCTTTGCCTTCCGCCATGATTGTGAAGTCTCCCCAGAGATATGAAACTGCGAATCCATTAAACCTCTTTTCCTTTATAAATTACCCAGTCTTGGGTATGTCCTTTTGGCAGCATGAGAACGGACTAATACAAATGAACAGCCTACATTAATATACAACTGACCTTGTTCCCCTCCTCCACAAAAAAGGTGAATGTACAATGTCACCAAAACATTGTTTTAACTAATAAAATTTCAGTAAGTGGGTAAAGAAACAAGTGAGAATAAATTAGCCTGCAAACTAAATACTAAAAATATTATTTTATTAAATGTTACCAAAGTGTTAGAGCTAGCCAATGTAAAGAATTAATAGAAAATTCAGTCATTAAAGTGACTTAGAAAAAATCCAAATATTGTAATGTAAATGAAAGCCATTCTGTACATGAAGTTAATTTAGTATTAACACTGAATAACTTAGGCCTTTAGTGGTAACTTTGAAATTATTCAACTAAGTTAGAGTTTTGGATGTAATCCAAGAAATTATTACATGTGAATGAAGCTAGTTCAAACATTTGTAGGCTTATAAAGTCTTACAAAATTTTATGAAAAACTATTTGAAAATAAGAAATTTTAATTTCCCCAAATCTACGTCCTTTCTATTTTTTTTACCCGCTGTGACTTCTGTAAATACAGTGTGCCAGACTCAGTTATAAACACTTAAGTGGCATAGAGCACAGTATTTATTTATTTATTTTTTTTTTTTAACCAGACTTTCAATTATTTCCTTAAATCTATCAGTTCACTTACATGATTACAAACAATTGGTTTCCCAACAGTGAAATTCCTTCTCACCTGTCTTTGATGATCCAGATCTGCTTTATTACCAATTAAAATCATTGGGAACTCATCACGATCCTTTACTCTGAGAATCTGTCTTTGAAACTTATAGATTTCTTCAAAACTTAAAAAAAAAAAAATCAAAAACAAATTAATCAATTTGGTCAAGTATCAGAATTCAGCAAGTCTCATGCCCCATTTAGTACTTTATTTTTCCTTTTTCTATAAAAACAAAAAGTCCAAATTCAATAAAGTCTAGTGATCTTGACAAAAACAGTGGATCTACATTCTAATATGGTACAAACCTGCCTCTATCTGTGACTGAAAAGACCAACAGGAAGCCCTCGCCAGTCCTCATATACTGTTCTCTCATGGCTCCAAACTCTTCTTGTCCTGCTGTATCCAAAACTACAGAAAAAACAACACATGTAATTATACTTGTGCTTTCATTTTATAAACTGCTTCCCCACAAGGGCAAGACCAATTAATATGGGTCCTCTAGAGAGCCTCATACTTGGTATAATATAGAAATGGCATTCCTTTCTTAGTACTTTATTCTTAATACTAAAGACAAATATATTCTAATGGCAGACAGTTACAGAGTTTATCTTCATCAGTACTGGTTGACTTTGTGGTTAGAATATATTAGCATACTAACTAGAAGCTTAAAAATATCAAATACATTTAATCAGATAGAGTCAAGTAGCCTCTAAAATCACTTGAATGTTTTATCCCCTCCATGGAAAAAACTGAAAAAGATACGTGTAAATTCAATAAAGAAATCTGAGTTATAACCACCATCCCCCAATACCATACTTAGTGCAGGTGCTAATGTAATTTTTGATCTCTGCAAATAAAAGAATCACACATATTAGAAGAATAGGGCTTTCCTTGTGGAGAGGTGGGATGTTTAGACACAAACAGTATTTGTTAAAGCCTCTGTGCTATAAATTCTAAGTAACAAATATCAAACCTTTTCTATATTCACTTCATCCATTTTAACCTTTGCCAAAAGGTAGGAAGAGTTGAGACCTGGCAGGTTTTTTCCAGTTGCCTCAATAAAATCAACTTCAACAAACTGTAATGAGACTAGTTTCACTAGAACAAGATCAGTACAAATATTGTTTTACTTTTCATTTACTGAAGAATATTTAAATTACCCATTTTGCGGACTCTTCAATCAAAACTTACAAATGACATGGGCTAATATTCCAGATCATCTAATATTTCAAATATATTTAACATAGCAAAACATCAGAGCTTACTTTTTTAAAATATATGATATGCAAATTATCAAAAAAAGGAAGTTTACTTACTATCTAGCCGGGCTGCTCTGTCATCTATCACACACTGCTTTGTGTAAGAATCTTCAATGGTTGGATCATAATCTGTTACAAAATAGGACTGCAAGAAAAGAAAAAACCTTATTTTAAAATTTATGGCCAGGCATGGTATCTCACACCTGTAAATCTAGTGCTTTGGGAGGCTGAGGGAGGAGGATCACTTGAGGCCAGGAGTTTGAGACCAGCCTGGGCAACACAGCAAGACTCTTATCTCTTAAAAAAAAAAAAAAATTAAAAAATTAAAACATTAGCTGACGTGGTGTGTCCCTGTGTTCTCTGCTACTTGGGAGGCTGATATGGGAGGATCACTTGAGCCCAGGTGGTAGCGGCTGCAATGAACCATGACTGTGCCACTGTATTCCAGCCTGGGAGACAGGATAAGACCCTGTCTCAAAAATAAAAACAAATAAAATAAATAGAATAAAAAATAAAATTTATGATTACCTGCCTACCAATGTTACTTTGCTTAACAAATTCCACTTACCCAGAACTAATCAAAACATTTTCAAGGTACTAGAGTTTACCCTATATGTCAATTCCCCACCAAATGTTCTTATGAGCACTTTCACGTGAAGAAAAGGTACTAGGTATCTCTAAATGTTCATATCTGAAATACGCAAGATTGCAAAAGATCTACAACTTTTTTTGTAATTATTTAAGGTTAAGAATCTAGATCTCAAACTCTAGAAAAATTAGAAAACACAGTAAGTTATAATTCAGACCTATTTGAATTAGCAACCTGATTATAATCATCAGTCCTAAGAAGACAAGTAGCTGGAAAGAAATGGAGACAACACAAAGAAGCCTGGAACATTTCGTCTTATACCTTTCTTTTCTCACACTTTGTCTTATTCCTCTTTCAACTCTTATGTACTATAAGAAAATATCATTTTGAAATTTTTTCAACTGTAGGAACCTCAAACTTATTCTTTCAGTGACACTTTTTTTTGCTTTTTTTAAAATCTTATATTCTATTCCTCTCTTCTTTGATCAAACCCTCCCAACTATTGAAAAAAAAAAAGGGGTGGACAAAGTATCCAAGTAAGAAGGGAAGAATCTCAGCCTACATACCAGTTTTCTTTAAAAGGGTTTTAAAAAGTCAGCTACTCAGGAGGCTGAGGTGAAAGGATCACCTGAGCCCAGAAGGTCAAGGCTACAGTGAGCCATGATCATATAACTCTGCACTCTAGCCTTGGTGACAGGATGAGACCCTGTTTCCAAAAAAGAAAAAGGTTTAAAAAAGAAAACAACAATAATCTGAGAAAGTACCTTTCCCTCTTTTTACAGAAGGGCACTAACTAGGACACCAACATTATCCTCCTTTTGTTCTGAGTATCTCCTTTGATCTACTTTGGACAGACTTCCTCAAAGCCCATTTTTCCCACTGGCTCATTACAAAATCTGAAGGAATGATTTGGAAGGAGACAGCTTAATGCTAGGAACCAGTACCAAGGGTGTTTAGCCTTCTTCAGGCAAGGGTTCCTGGCTCTTGCGACCCAACAGTTGTGGTGACCTACGCAAACACCAGAGAGCTACTCAGAAATAAGCACTCGGAACAGGAGAGAAAAGAACCCCCTGGTTTTGGGAGGAGATATACTAATCTGCCTGATACCATGACTTTATATATTTTTTTTGAAGGACACTGTCCATATTTTATTTAAGTCTTAAGAATAACTTTAAAGCCAGGCATGGTGGCTCATGCCTGTAATCCTAACACTTTGTGAAAATCACTTGAGCCCAGGAGTTCCAGACTAGCCAGGGCAACAAGGTGAGACCGTATCTCTACAAAAAATGTAAGACTTAGCCAGATGTGGTGGTGTACACCTGTAGTCCTAGTTACTCTGGAGGCTGAGACAGAAGAATTGCTTGAGGCTAGCAGTTCGAGGTTGCAGTGAGGTATGCTCATGTCACACTACACTCTAGCCTGGGAGACAGAATAACACCCTCTTAAAAATTTTTTTAAGTTAAAATTAAAATGTTTAATCACAGAATTCCTATATTCTGTGATTATAGAATATCAATAATCCTATTTCTTTTTTGATATTTCACTTAAATGCATGCTTTACTGAACAAAATTTGTAAAAGAAATGTTTACTAATAGCAGTAACTTTTAGTAGGAAGCCATCTCCTCCACTACTCCATCACCATTTAAAAATAAACAAGTATCAATTCACTTAACTAGCCTAAAAAAATAAATAAATAAGCAGGTATCAAAACAATCATGATCTTACTTTTTGGCACCCATGCCACTTCAAAAAGTAAACAAATTTTACTGGCAACAATATTCTCTATATCCACTATTTTAAACAACAGGAATTGGCAGTCTTTCACAAGCAAATTGGATAAAGCATGCTCTGTACTTTTTAAGATTCGTTTCTTGAAACATGTTTCCCCATATGCCATGCTTTTATATCTTGTAAAACCTGAATTTCACTGACTATTCCCAGTTGATGCCTAAAAGTGCTACACTGTCCCTACCAATTTGGCCTAAAATATAATAAACAAATGTTAAATACATTTTTTACAAATGTCTAAGCCATGCACAGTAACTAGAATTCTTTAAATGTGACAGTTCTTGGCATTGTGAGATTAAGATACAAGCATGTACAAAAGATTGTTGGTTTGATTGTTGTATAAAAGACTGTTACAACTTTGAAGTCCAGTATAACAAACTGTTTTACCTCTACTAGCTATGAACATTTCTTTGGATGTCTTAACTCTTGAAACACAATCTTAGTATTACAAGAATTTTGCCATACTGCTACATGCATTTATTCCACTCATACTAATTTTTAAGACAAATTAATTGCTGGGATTTTTGGATATTTAGGTTCACACTGAATCTCTGCTGTGTCCTATCTTCAAACTGTCTACAGAGACCATCATCTACTTGCTATACGTAAATTGTAGAGCCATCCATATTGGAATATTCCTCCTCCAACGAAACATCACTCTGGGAACTATCATAGAATCAAAAACCTCTTTCCCTCTCAAAATTCTAACAAGACAGGTCAGAATATCCCTAAGAAGAGCATTCGCTGTGTGCAGGTAACAAATACAAGCATCATCTCCCACCAAAAAGGCAACATTTTTGTTAAACTTGGGTACCAGATATTTGAGGCAACAGATCACCAACAAGTAATCAGTCCCAGTGATGAACAGTCCTGGGTTTAATTCTAACTCTGCTACTCTCTAGCTGTGGGACCTAAGGCAAATCACTTTACATGTCTAATCTTTAGCATCTATAAAACAGAGATAGAAACAAAATCCTGTGAAGCAGGTAAAATGAAGTAATGCATATGAAGTACCAAGGCATGCTGATTAATAAATGTCAACCATAATAATAACTTATTTTTGTCATGCAGTTAAACGGTCTGAATTAGTGTTTTTTACTCAAGTATAAAGATTTGCTAAGCTCAGGAGTAGCTGTAATAATTCCAGTCCTAGTTACACTTCAGACCAACTACATGACCTCTGGGACTTGATATCCAAACACTGTGAATCAAGATGAAAGCTGGGGTTCTGGAAATAGTCTCTGGATTTGAGCAGCAACTACACCGGTAATTTACGTAAGTAAAGACCCATCAAGCTGTACATTTAAGATCTGCACACTTTTTTGTACATACATTAATACCTCTAGAGAATATATAAATTAAATGGCTCCCTGCTGCTTACAGGATTCCATCGTTTCTTTACGTAGTATGCAAAGCCCTCCAGTCTTTACGTAGTATGCAAAGCCCTTCAGTTTGATCTGTGTTGTTCACCATGCAAAGCCCCATTTCCCACTACTTGAAACCCTTCGGCCAATTGTCCTTGCTCTCTTGATTGCACTTACTCATTTGTTCAGTGATCATGTATGCAGCACCTACTAAGAACTCCATAAAGACAAGGTCTCTACCTTCAGAGCCCAGTGCCTTTTATACAACAATCAGTAGTGGAGCTATTACTGGGGGCAAGAGGGATTGGGGCATGTTAAATCTATACCCAAGACAAAGAACAGAAACAGCACGAAGTGCCAATACCATGCTTGTTCAGAAGGCAAGATAAGTTAGGCAGTTAATACTACAGTTATGTACAGAACTATGTGTGCGTTCACTTATAAACACAGAGCCTCAGCAATTTGCCAGAAAAGAAAACAGTCTCTCTCCTGAAGTTATAAAAAGTTACCAACTACATCCCAGAAAGGATGTTCTGTAGCAGAAAGAGAAAAAAAAAAAAAACCAGCACAGTATTGCACTGAGCTAGACAGTAAAGGTTCAGGCAAAGATAGGGAAAGAGGGTGGACCCAAGGGCTCAAGAGTACAATGAGGGGAAAGGAAGGGTGGAGGATGGAGAGAGTACATGTTTCCCGATAGACATGAAAGGGTGTGTGCAGAAGGATCCTAGTCAAAAGACAAGGAATACCCCCATTCAAAGGGCAGCATGCCTTCCTGGTAGTATAGAAGGGCAAATGAACTTCAGTTTCTTTAAAGTTGTCAGGAGATACGGAGAAACATTTAGGATTAGGGACGCTATCACATTCAGACAGAGATAAAATCTGGTCTGGCAAGCCTGGGCAACATAGCAAGAACGCCATCTCTACAAAACATAAATTAGCCAGGTGTGGTGGCACACGCCTATAGTCCCAGCTACTCAGGAGGCTGAGGTAGGAGACTGAGGTAGGAGGACTGCTTGCGCCCAGAAAGATGAGGCTGCAGTGAGCCATGACGGCACCACTGCACTCCAGCCTGAGCAACGAAGCAAGACCCTGTTTCAACGCCACCCCCTCCAAAAAAAATTGATCTGGGTAAGTTTGTCAGAAGCCCCTAATAATGCCAAAGTATAATATTATGCTGGGATAAGCAGGATAATCCTGCTTACATGCCACTAGATTACGTAACAGAAGCTTGGGCTGGCCTCCTGAGGAGAACTGCCAACTCAGTATCTCCCCATTCAAAGAAGCTACATTAGGGAGGAAAAGAAGGAAGGAAGGAGAGGAAAGGGGATGAGTTGCCCTTCAGCATTCAGTGGTAAGGAGTGACAACTCACTTTCTCCTGACACCAAGCTATTGGTGAAAGTGT